CTGACTTCATTTAAATGTAACCATCTGTGGAGAGAGATATGGAAATGATTTAAAATTAAAATAACATTATTTAGAGCTGGATCTATAAAAGGAACTCAAAGAGCAGTCCATTATTAAAATAAGCACTCTGCCTGGAAAATGAGAAACATTAGAAAACAAATATTTTCTAGTGTCTAAGGCATGGTAGAGAATTGTACAACACAAATATCAAGCATCATAGCTTATATTAACTGTACTACATTTTGAGCTACCAAATAAGTGCTTTAATTTTTTTTTAAATTACAAATATGCCTGAAGTCAGAAGTATGCCTTTGAGACACATACATATACCGTTTCTCCCACAATATGGCCTCCCCCAATAGGAAGTCCCAGCATGTTTTATAGGCATGAAATGAAATTAAGCCCCTCCCCCCCAAATTAAGGCCTATATTAAAACATGCAAAATGGGGGGGGAACTTGCCATTAGGAAGTACTTTTGTTGCACACCCGGATATGGTGCTGCCTGTGTTGACCCCGATATGAAGTGCCCCACCAATGCCGAGGTCAACATCCAAACCATTGCTGCCCACCTGCCCGAAGATGCAAGGGGGGGATTAAGTCACCCCCGAAAAGACGGCCTGGCCATTTTTTCGGGGCTCAAAAAAAAAAAAAAGACCCGGCCTTATTATATGAGAAACACGGTATTTGTAAGGGGACAACTTTAAATCCTGGCAATCTCCTTACCTTTACCTCCTCTTCCTCCTTGCTGTAATGCCAACTCACCTGCCGATCTAATTATGCAATCGGGAACTGGGTGAGGAAATAGATACGCTTTCTTCACTTTCTTTCTTCTGAATGGCCAGAGACATAAGTTCAGGAGAAAAATCCAGGCAAACGGGTACTATAATAAGAAATAAAAAAGAACTTTTATGGACTAAGAAAAAGAGTATTCTGCATCAGTTTCAGTTGGTGATTTCCTAAGATGGCAGAACTGAGGGCCCCATCTATTCTTCAGGACTTGCCTCAACCTGGTTGATTTCATTATTAGAACTGTCTTTGTTTGGTATCAATAACGGAAGGCAGGATGCCTTTGTATTTAAAGAAGGCAGGTGTTAGATCTTCTTTGAAAAGGCCTACTCTGAATCGCTTGGATTGGACTCCATTCTACCTAACCTGTTTCAATAAAAAGGTTACCTAGACCCCTTTTGGAAGAAATGCTGATCAGGAAGCATCATTTAGAATGGAATATAGAGTAATTATGCGGTTCAAAATTGCAAAAGCCACGTGCCAAGATTCTATACAATCACTATTGTTATTAAATCTATATCAGAACACATTCTGAGAAATGCCAGACTAAAAGAAACTAAAATTTAAATTTAAATTGCTGAGAGAAATATTAACAACTGCAGATACACTGTACATTTCACCTTGGCAGCGGGAAGTGAGGAAGATTTAAGGAATCTCTTGCTGAAGGTTAAAGCTGAAAGCGCAAATGCGATTTTGATGCTCAGTATTAAAAGAAATGTCAATTGTTCATATCAACCCTCTGCACACAGCTGTAAATTAGTGCAAGAACTGATTCATCTTCCTCAGGTCAAAACCCCAAAGAGATATCTGGGTCTTTGGAGAAAGACTTTAATAGATAACAGAATGTTAAAAGCATAGTTAGATGATCCTGTCAACAAAAGTGTACATAGTCAAGAATTGGGATTAATAATGGTTCGATACTAGATGGGAACCAGGTACCACCAGAGGAGATCCAGTGTGATGGTTAAGGTGCTGGATTGACACTGGGAAAAACAGTTCTAGTCCACTCACAGCCACAGAAGCTCACTGGTTGACTTTGTGCCAGTTATTCTCTCAGCTCCACCCAGTGGTGGGATTCAAATTTTTTTACTACCGGTTCTGTGGGCGTGGCTTGGTGGGCATGGCAGGCGTGGCAGGGGAAGGATACTGCAAAATCCCCGTTCCCATCCCACTCCTGGGGGAAGGTTACTGCAAAACCCCATTCCCACCCCACTAACCTGCTTTCCAGCTCCGTTCTCCTATGCAGGGCAACAAAAGACCCAGCTGATCAGCTGGGACTGGGAGGCAGGGAATAGATGGGGGCACGGCTAGTCAGAGGGGCTATTTGCTGGTTCTCCAAACTACTAAAAATTTCCCCTACCAGTTCTCCAGAACTGGTCAGAACCTGCTGAATACCACCTGTGGCTCCATCTATATGGTTGTAAGAGTATAGCATGGTACATGTGAATTCACAGTGAGATAATGCCAGATGCAGAGATATAGAAGAATTCACAGGAAGGGCATTTCATAAATAAGCCAGTTTCTCACATATTTTGTTTTGCCTATTGTTAGAAAAGCTTTACAAACCAGCTCCTCGGCACAGACATGTCACGGCAAAACACAGCATACATACCTGCTGTCTGTCACAAGGAGCACTGCATGTTTACTCTTGTAAGTATTTATCTTTAATGAAGTTTGTGAGGATCACAGTGGCTTTCACCTCCTTTTTCTTGGAAATCTTTCATAGATATTGGCTCCTAGAGGGCATTTACATTTGGGCATTCCAGAACAAAAAATAACTTCATGCAACACACATACAAATAAATAAATAAAATAATAACTTAAACAATCCAGTACTAATCATGAAGGTTAATTTGACAAGATGATTAAATACAGTACAGATAGTCCTCAATTTACAATAGCGCATTTAGTAACTATTTGAAATTACAATGGCACTGAAAAAAATGACTTACAACCATTTTTCATGTTTAAGACTGTTGCAGCATTTCCATGATCACATGAATAAAATTCAGATGCTTGGCAACTGACTCATATTTATGATGGAGCAGTTTTCCAGGATCATTTGATCACATTTTCTGATTTTCTGACAGGCAAAGTCAACGGGGAAGCCAGATTCATTTAACAACCTTGTTACTAACTTAACAAATGCAGTCATTCACTTAACAGCTGTGGCAAGAAAGGTCGTAAAATGGGGCAAAATTAACTTAACTGTCTTACTTAGCAACTGAAAGTTTGTGCTCACTTGTGGTTATAAGTTGGGGACTACCTATACCCGTGATGGCGCCCCTATGGCACGCATGCTGGAAGCCGCACGCAGAGCCATTTCTGCCGGCACGCAAGCCGTTGCCCAGAACTGATCCACTGCGCATGCACACATCCCTACCAGCCAGCTGTCAGGAATCTGCCGCGCATGCCCAGAGGGAGACGTGCTCACATATGCAGGGTGGGGTGGGGCATGGGAGGGGGTCACACACGCAGAGGAATGCGGGGGTCATGCATACATGTGCAGAGGCATGCAGGGGTCACACATGCATGCAGGGGGAAGGAATGGGTCACACGCATTGCATTATGGGTGCAGGCACACATGCACGCTAGTGGTGGGATTCAAAATTTTTTTACTACCGGTTCTGCGGCCATGGCTTGGAGGGTGTGGCAAGGGAATGATACTGTGAAATCTCCAGTCAGAGGTGGTATTTGCCACTTCTCCAAACCATGGTCACCAACTGTGGGCTGTGGCCCACTGGTGGGCCATGAGAAAATTTTGGTGGTCCCAGGACAGAGACTCTGGGAAAATCTCAAAAAAAGTCTGCAGGAAAATCCCCCATCCCATTTTCCTACCAATCAATCATTCTTATTTGGGATTGCAGGATACCATCTCCCACCCCCCCCACCCCAACTGAGCTGAAAATCAGGTTAGCGAAGGAATGTGGCTGCCTTGGAAGGGGTGGGGGTATGTGAGGGACCTGTGTGTGTGTGTATGAGAGAGAGA